GAGAGAGAGAGAGAGAGAGAGAGAGAGAGAGAGAGAGAGAGAGAGAGAGAGAGAGAGAGAAACGCAAGTGCGAGCGGAAATTCAAATAAGAGCGGAATGAAAGCATCGTGCGCGAACACGAATAATGGAAGTAGCTTGCATTGCGAGTCGGCACACAGTCGTTAAATTTTGTTTAGAGCCGCAGAGCACTTCAACGATTCGAATTTCCTGATGTGAATCTGTGTTAATATTTAAACAGACTGTTATTTTTCCTTCCTACTTTTAAACTCGTTACTTGCTATCTTATCATTTTCGGAAGAATTTAAATCGTTCGGTAAATAAGATTTTTATTAAAGTAAAAGTTGTTAAAATTGTCGGCCTCAAGTTAATTATAATAAACGCAGGAATATTAATTTAACGCGCGCGCGCTGAGAAGAGGAAAAGCAAAGATAGGTAGTTTCGTTCTATGATTTCAACTTCATTCTTGCTCTTAATCGAGAAATGGCAAAACGTTTTACAGCAACTACGTTTGGGCAAAACACCGCTGTGTTTCAGTGGAGGATTATATATTAATCTCTCGAAGCGAGATTATCCCGAGCCGAGGGATGGAAAAAAGATTGCGAGGGTAAAGTGACCTGCTCTCCCGATCCCGGTCACGAGCAGGTGCCCGCGTCTGAACGAAAAGAGAGAGAGGGGGGGGGAGAGAAAGAAAGGGAGCGATCACGACCCCGTGGTCGCGGAAAGCGGAAACGGGAGAGGCGAACGCGTTTCGAGGGGGAGGAGGAGGAGGAGGATCTCGTAATCCGTGCGCGCTAGGCCGCCCCTGCTCGGGATTGCGGAGGGTGGCGGAACTACGAGGTGGCGGGCAAGGAGCCACAGTTGGTTGCGGGCAGTCGCCCTGAAAGCAAGCACGCGCGTTTCCGCGTCCCGACTCGCCCGGGTCACGGCACGCGACCCTCGCGATCGCGTGATCGCGCGCGTAACGAAACACGCGCGTCGCATATCGAACGGATCGAGTGCCCGACCGCGCCGCGAGAGATCGACCGTGCGCGATCGTCGGCACCGGCGCGACGGTCAGTGCGCCAAGGTCTCGTGGACACGCGACAGTGCTAACAGTTACACGGCCACGCCGCGCTCTGACAGTCACGCTGACATTTTCGCGCCGTTAAAGCCGCCACATTACGCTCCGGTTTTCTAATCGGCCGCTGATTTATTCGCGAAGGCGCGTCGATAGTTTCTCGTGTTTGCGTTTCTCGCGCGCACGGGCCCCCTGCCGCGGCGACTCGCCGAAATGAATCGTGGGGAGGGACGTGGATACGCTACGTGATAATTGCTTGTTCCGAAAGGGTGCGGTAAATTGAATCGTGCGACTGTGTGCATATGTGTTTTAATATCACACGTTGATAATTCATTATCTCGGCGAGAAGGGAAGAGAGAGAGAGAGAGAGGGAGGGGTGGGGGGTGGGGTGGCAAACGGTTCTCGCGAGTTCATCAGCGAGGAAATCGAGGAAGCTTGTTTCACGGGTGAAACCTCGTCTTCGTAATGATGACCGCGTGTATTATGATAGACCATTTGAACATTGTTGAAACATTAAACGATAGAAGGTTTTTAGGAAAGTGAGCTGACAGAGAGCTACAACACGGACGCGCTCCAGTGGTTGGAGAACAGCGAAACCGCCGTACAGATGGATCCTATCGCGCGAAGAAAGGAAACGCTGAGGAAGCCGAGAGACCGCCACGCGAGGCGAGCTTTTCGAGCCCGCGAGGGAAGGGAATGATTTTTTTCTTTGACTCGGCAAATTTGACAGTATATACACATGTGTGCGCGTGTGCACACCCGAGATAGCTACCGGGCAATTTTGTTGAGCGCGCGCAACTAAGTTCTAGTCAGCGCGAAGCTTTAACTCGGGCCAACGACGATAGACCGGCGAGATCATAAATGCGGCGCGCGAAAAATGATTTCACTGTTGATTCGCGGGAAAAGAGAGGAACCAAAAAAAGGGACCGACCGCGATCAATCTAGTCGCGCGACGTCGCGAAAGGCCAGAGGATGCTCCCGCCCTTCCAGTCCGCTCGGCGCACGATAGCTCCGGTCTGCGATTAGGCTCATCGTTGGGATTTTGTAATCGACATTGTACACGGGGCGCGTGCATAAAACGCGCGGCAAACGGTATCGCGCGCGAACAACGTAGCATCGAAGGAGCTGTCGGGTCTCACGCAATTTAATTGTGCGAGGCGTCGGCGGTAAACGTTGTTAGACATTGTTGATTCTGTTTTTGCAGCCGCATAAATAGCTAAAGATTACCCCGGCGCGGCTTTAGTGGCGTTAAGAAGGATTAAGACTTGTCTACGGCGCGCGAATTCCCCTGCGCACGTACATCAGTGATCCTCTGTGATTCCGGGTTAAACCCTAAGAGCAATAACGAAGCAATCATAAAGTGCATTAAGGAGAGCAGCGTTATTCTGCTGCGACGAGAATCGTTTCATTTCCTCAGGGAGAATCGAAGAAGCGTATTCAGAAGGAATTTTGGGAAACTACTGGCCCCTGCAGGCTGCTGTTTTCTTGGAGAGGAAAATCATAAAGATGCGGTATAAATAAATAAGAGAGACGACAAAATGTAGCGAGGATATACTGTAAATGTTTTCGCACGACAATCATTGGCGAGCAATTGCGAGCGGTGCCTGCGCGAGCAGGAATTTTGTCACGAACGCAAGTTACGTTTCAATGAAAACAGTAGATCTTGTTGCGGTTGCGTCGCTGTATCGTCTGGCACGTATTTGAGAAGAATGAAATAACATCCTTTTGCCGAGGTGAGACTAACAGCAGCGTTGCTCGTTGAATCGTTGAAAAGGCAAGTGGACGAAAAGGAAGGACCTCGGCGATTACGGTAACGAGCAACGAACGGTGAGGGAAAGAAAGCGTCAACGCGCCGGGTTGAAAGGCGATACGAGAAATACGTTTTGCGACGTGGCTTAAGTAACGATTGTCCACGTGCGGAGCGGAGAAGGAGAGACATTTTTCGAATGGAAAGGAGACTCGAGGGAGTCGCGGAACGGAATTTCATTAGCGTATTAGTCCGAATAAATGCTCGAAGGATTTCCTTAGGTAAGATCGATCGCGGGGTCCCAGAAGTCTGCTCGCATTCGTTATCCATCTTGCGGGGACCAGAACGAGGAGATTTCCGAATCTCTAACCCTCCCGTCTACCTCTCCCCAACCCTCTCCCCAACTTTCTCTCGCTGTCCTTCTCTTTCCTCTCGCCTGCGGTGCATATCGAAATTCTCCTCTCCGAGGCCCGACAAGCTTCAGTGGTTGATGTCATATCGTGGACATTATGCATGACCCGGCCATCGAGCACCCGCATCTGACGTCCACGATAGTTTCACGTCTCGCGAAAGTAACAGCTTTGGCAAAGGCTGGTGAGCCCGAGGGTTAGGGTTTATCCTGTCAGGTTGAGTGGAACCAACGAGAGAGAAGCGCGGTGATCCGCGAGACTTATGGAAAGACTTTTCTATCCGAGTCGGCACGAATTTGGTGGGATCGCATGATAGAGAGCGATGAGAGCACGAACGTGGCAAAGGCGAGGACAATTCACTCTGTCGGCTGATCGGAAACTCGTATCATTCCTCGAAATCGATCGAGAGCTTTAACGAATGCTCCGGAGAACGGCGTTCAACGATGACAAACACGGAGGCGTACGCTGCGTTACGTTTCAGACGCGATCAGCAATTCCGGCGACGACGACCAGGTCGGATAATCCTTTCGACGATATCCGTGCCGTGAGGGAACAGCCTCTCGCGAGAGAAAAGGTGGTAGGATCGCGACGGGCTGAATATCTCACTTTTTCTCCCGTAGCGACAGCGACGAAAATCCTGATTTGATAGGACGTGCAAGACAAATCCTACTGTCGTGCCGTTGTCCCGCAATGAATTCTGGCAATCCACGAGGGAGCGACGTGTTGCGAAGATCGGACTATTAAATTTCCGATAGTGCTACGCGCGACGTTTCACAGCCCAAGACGATCGTTGTCGTGTGAGCGCGGATTTCGGAGACCATGGACAAGCCGCGTGCTCGGACGATCGTCCGGCAGACAAGGAGCCGCTCATCGACCACAACCGGGAAGTTGGTGCCGGGATGCTGCACGCCGTTATGCTAGGTAGCGGTCCAGGACGGGGGAGACGCGAGTGGTATCCAGGATTTTATCTCCAACGTCGCCGTCTTGGCTGTAGGATGAATCGCGGCGAACAGGAGACTCTCTTCCGGCAAAGCCGACAGATCACGCGGATTGTACCTTCCCGCGAGGATCTCGTTCTGAGTGTCCTCAAGTCGCCGATCAATCAGCAGCAGCAGCAACAGCAACGACAGCAGCAGTATCGACATCCGTATCAGTCGCACACCCACGGTCACTTTAACTGCCAAGGTCATCCAAATAATAAGAAGTGCAGTCATTCAGGTACAAGACTGCAGCCGTTATCCTCCCTAATCCTCGTGTTCGTTTTTACATGGTTATCGCGCGAGCCCTAAGTAACCTCGCGAACGAGCGTGACGTGGATAACCGATGTACTGGGTCACGTTGCATTTGTTGCACGTCACGGAATATTTATACCGCGGTTTCTCCCTCGTTTCGTCAACGTGTTCTAACGAGTCGACCGCGATTACCTCAACTTCTCTTTCTGTTCAATTCAGTTTTGCGACCCGCAAACAAATAAGCAGTCGGTTAACATATAAGTTTCGAGTTAATAGAATACAGAATAATTGCCAAACTTACGTAGATTGGCTATGAATCAGAGTTTCCAATCTTTTCTTTCTCGTTAAAAGGAAAACCGAAAGTTTCAATTTCGTGTAACATGAGCGTTTATGCTATATTTATGTAACTTTTTTGTGCACTTTCTATCACATATTGCGGTATTTTACCGTTTAACGGGGCAATTTGAGAGTCGTATAAAATCGTATTAATTAAAAATCGTATGTCTTTCAGAGGCTTTCCGCCAAAGGGAACTCGCACGCATTTGGCGCTGTTAATGTATGCATTCTTCTTAATTAATGGAAATGTCGCACGTAACAATATGAACGAAACGTTTGTTGCATTTAAAATAAATTTTACCTCGTGTGTAAAATGAGAAAGAAACGCGAGTGAAGTGACGGTGACGACACTCGCATGCAACACGTATGCATATATTTTTGCGTGTGACGGACGAATATTAGATATCCCTTTCGGACGGGAGCGAAAATTCGTATAACTCATGAATTCGCGCGGCTTAACAGAGAGGCAGAATTGCGAAGCCTGATTTCTGCTCAATCAGAGAGAGAGAGAGAGAGAGGGAGTGTGTCTTTTCGCTCGATACTCGAGGCTCGAACCGCGACACGGTTGGATCCGTTCATATGACGGAGTTTTAATGTCTCATCGTCTGAGAGCAAGAGAGAAACGACGAAGGAGGTGGAGGCTTTTATAAATAGAGCTCTGCGGACAATTCACTCGCGTTAATGTACAAGCGTGCGAGTCGGATTTGTGGTTTCCATTGTTCCGCCTTCCCGATAATTCCGCTCTCCTGCATCCTGTCGTACACAGGATAGATATTATGTTATAATGCTACTCCGTTGCGCGGCGATATTTTGCGTGTGATGATCATTAATTTTTCTCAATGTGTGGAATTTTCAACAATTTTCACGGCCGAAAATAATCCAAGATATTTTAATACAGTAAAACCTCGCGTAGAAATAAATTCGCGACTGGCTGTTTTTGTCGAGAGATAAAGTCGACCGTTTATTCAGGACTGAATAATTAACGATACAAATATTTTCTGAATATACAATTTTTCACTTTACTCCGAGTACTTAAGTATTCATGAGATCGATTAAAGTATACGCGCCATTGATCTTTGTACAGAGACTGCTTATACGGTCGCTAATACAGCGCTATAATCGTAATGTAGAAAGACATGAGAAAAGCACATATGTACAACATTGATGTTTCGTTACTCTACCTATATCAATGTTAATCGCGGTTGGCATTCCCTTCAATATTAAATGCATCCCTTCTATTTTTCGTGCAAGAGACGGCAACCAAATGGCGCCCCTTTTCGGAACGATCTACTCGGTTTTTAATCTTCCCGTATGCCACTGGGGATTAGAAAAACTTTTACGACGAGTCATTTATTTCCAAAAAGCTGGGCGCAGAACTTGCAACTGGCTGCGGTAATCGCACTTGCTACCTCATCCCTTAAAACGAGCGAAATTCTTTTCACGGCCAGTAAATGTTGAACTTGAAAAATATCTCGAGTGCAATTAAATTATTATTATTCCGGAGTGTAGTATAAAATTTATTTAATAAAAAGAAAATTATATTTTGCATATTTCTGAATAGTCGAGAAATAAACGACTTCTATCATCTTTTTAGATTGACAAATTTCATAGGATAGCAGTCTGCAGGAGTATAGATATTTATTAACATATCGCGTTGATAATATTCAGCAGATTTTTGCGTATTTTATATCTTAACGTTACATTGGAATAAACAAAATGGAAAAGTAGAAATGATTTATGATCCTCAATAGCTTAATTTGTAACTTTTTGCAGTATAATGGACCCAATATTTCATTACGAAAATCTTACTAACCTTATTAACAACGGAATTTTTATGAGTCCGAAAGTTTTAATGTACTTTTTAATGAGTATACTTAATTTTTAATGGAATACAATTTTTTGTGCAATGTGTTATTCATTAGAAGAAAACATTTTAGAGAACGACGCGGAGGCTTTTTTATTATTTTAACTAAAATTTTTCCAAATTTTGACATGAAATAAAAGCATTCTGAAAATCGGAATTGTACTCTCAACATAAAAGATATTGTTTTGGGAATAATTACGATTCACTTAATTCCTATTGTAGAAGATTATAAAAGATAAAATGTAAAAACTGGATAAAGTTGACTGTATGCACGAGCAGAGAATAAAAAGAATAGAAACTTGAGCCATAGTTGGGTTGAAATCTCTGCTAATTTTCACATCGTTCTCTAAAATGTTTTATTCAGTGGAGTGCATTTAATAACAGATGTTATTATCGATCCTATTTCGTAAATAAGCCCGATCGCAGGCGGGTTTTCGCGCGCGTATTATATGTTGGGATATTATTCCGCGGTTCTCTAGTGGTTAGAATTGCAAATGCCTCAGTCTGGCCGCGTCAAATATTTGAATAATCTCCGCGCGATGACTGATCTATCTATTTATCGTCGACGACTCATCCGAGGTTCGTCAATTGAATCCTCTCATTGGCGACCATCTCAAAATGTAAAATGACGAGATCGAGTTAGCCTCGCGGTCGCGAAACACGACGCGATTGGTACAATCGTATTACGTGTAACAGTTAAAACTGGGTTCCCGCGCTTCACGATGCACGAGGATTCGAACGAAACAATTTGAATGAGGAGAAAGACGTATTTTATCGCGTTACTCTCGCGAGCCTCAAGGATCGAGCAACGACATTGCAAAATTGGCGTCGCGATCGCGGCGCGATCTCCGGCTGGCAAAACTGGCACCTGAAAGTCAATCCTGGAATTGAAGGTGACAACGAGAGTCTTCCACGGAGCAAGGAGCAATGCTCTAGGCACGCGGAGAGACGGTGCGGCACCACGACCGTCTACGCTGCCCTCCAGGGTAGCGAGGACGAGCTCGTGGCTGAGCAGGGTCTCGAGACGGAGGACACCGCGTTGAAGACACCCGGCAGCGAGACCGAGGACACCGAGGATAACGACGCGAACGCGGAGGAGCCGCCATCGCCCGCGCGTCGTTTCACCTTCCTACGTCGCTTCCGTTCGCCGCGCTTCGGCGAAGCGCACCACAAGCGGGTGCCGACGCCCATGAAGCGGAAATACCGGCGCAAGAAGAGCAAGGAGGATATCGTTGACAATGACGTGGCCGGCGCCGAGGAGGAACCGCCGAGTCCCGATCAGACCGGCGTGCCCGATCCTTACTATCCGATCTACCTGCCGATCGATCAGGCCTTCAAGGCCAAGTACGTGTTCCATCATACGAGGGGCAAGACCTTCCAGGAGCGCCTCTACGTATTCCTCGAGCATCCCGGCGGCTGGCTGTGCTTTATCTACCATTTCACTGTGTGAGTATTCACTTCCGTTCGAGCCGAGAACGACGCCATTTTTACGTTCCACAACTAACACGTCCTTCGATATTTCTGACCCATCAACAATTTTCAAAAACACCTATTTACACCAAGACTATTCTGCGTATGTTTGCTCACGGTCGAGAGCTAAATGTTACATGACACCGATATAAAATGCCGCGTCAGAGTTTCGCCTCCTTCCGTTCGTCGTGCAGGCATCGATTTTGGCATCGTGGCCTTTGACACCTGGCGTGCCCCAAATCCCCGACACCGTCGAGGACTTCCTTCGTCTGCAATTCTATCTGTCGGGCATAATCTTTCACTTTTTCACCGGAGAAACAGATACCTCGCAGGGCTTTGTTGCTTATTGGCCTGATAAACTATACAACAAGCGTCGACAATCGAATACGCCTTGAAAATATTCGACTTTGAGAGTGTCGATCGATAGAAGAGTTTCGTGTATTCTTCGTGAGAAAGAAAAAGATATGACTGCATATCAACTCATTTCCATCGTTGACACGAGGAGTTTGCATTTTAATAAATGCTAAGCGACAAGCTTTTCTAACTCTTTTGCACCTTGCAGAAGGCGTAACAATTAGCTGCGACGTTACGCATGAACGAAAAGCGTTCAATTTTTATCAGAAGAAAAAAGCTGCTGTAATTGTCAAATGTTGACTATGAGTATACACACACACACACACACATATACAATATTGACTTTTTAGAATTGTAAAAGATTTTAATTACGCGCTACATTTTTATTGCGATATGACAGTTTCTGGCAATTCGATTTTTGCGGAAGCGATAGTTTATTATTATATACACAGAGAGAAA